CGTGGCGGAGTGGCCCGTGGTGGAGTGGCCGTGGAGGAGTGGCCTGAGGCGGAGTGGCCCGTGGCGCAGTGGCCTGTGGCGCGCAGAAGCCGGGCCCCCAGGAGGTGGGGTTTCGAGAGTTACAGCAACAAACGCTTGTCAGGCGCTTGCTGAGCTCCAGGCTCCATGATCTATGCTCACTTTCTAAGCGAGTCACTTTCACTAAGTGACTAAGTCACTTTCACTAGGGCTGCGTGTGTTTGTACACATCTGTGTAATAACATAAGTAGACTTTTACTCTTCATGCTCTCCGAGAGCATGTGGCAGTTGACACTTGGAGGAAGTGACTAGAAATTCCCTTCTTGTGGGCAGAACAACTCCGATGCGTTTACTGACGTGTGCCGACAATTTTAATAACTTCAGGAAAGGCGCCCATTTCACAGATGAGGCTTAAGTGACTTGCCCCAGGGCACGAAGGTGGTCAGTGGCCCAGGGGAGAGTATGACCCCAGGTAGAGCCGTGTCTCAAGCCCTGACTGTGATGGTCACATGTTCCCTCTGCTGAGTCCTTCTTGCATGAGATTCCCCCTTTCGCAGGACGGGACATTGTCAGGTGTGAGGGAGGAAGGGGGAGGGCCAGGGCTGGATCAGCTGTGACCTGGTAGCTTTCTTCTCTGACCTCAGTTTCCCTGCCACTAAGCGGGACAAGAGCGGGGGGGGGGGGGGGGGGGGACTGTGTTTGTGGATAAGAAAGCATTTTGTGGCTGTCCAGTTAATGGTCGTGATTTGGTCTCCAGACGCCCCCTTGGGAGTGAGGTCTACAGAATTCAGTTGGGAGAGACCTCAGGGTCTAAGCTTAATTCCCTGCAGGAGGAGGACGCAGTGGAGGCTGGGGAGCAGGAGGGAGGGCCCGATGTTGAGTGTGGGGTGAATGGGCTGAGCGGAACTGGAGTCCACAGCAGGCCTTCCCCTTGCCCACCGCCCCGGTGTGGGCTCAGTGCTGAGTGCTGGTGATGCTGCTATCTGGGGCCCAGGCTGTGGGAGAAGCGGCTCTCATGGCTGCATGGAACATGGAGAACCAAAGGAGGGGACCATGAAAGCTTCTGATAAATCTGGAAGACATTCCCTAGGAGGGGCATCTGTTCCTTCTCACCTCAGGGCCTTTGCACTTACAGCTCCCTCTGCCTGGCACTTCGGGTCTCCCTCCCAGCCACTTCACCTCTGTCTCTGACCCTTTTGAATGGCTTAGTCACCTCTGTTCCTCAGGGTTCGAGTCTCACTTTAAATGTCTCTTCCTCCAGGAAGTCTTCCCTGACTTCTTCCATCTCCGGCCCGAGTGCCCATCAGGTGCCCCCCACACTGCACTGCGGTGACCCCTTTATCTGTACCCTACTCTCCACCTGAGCTCTGGTGCTTGGCACACTGGAGGTGTTTAACAGGCTTTGGAAGAAACGAAGAAATAAGTGGACCAGGAGAAAGTTGGCCAGTAGGAAGGGGCGGTGCTGACAAAGCCCTGGGCTCAGGCAGGGGTCACAAGGCATATCTGGGGGATGGGGCTGAGTGGTCTGGACTGGTCTGGCCTGGTGATGGGCGTGTGGGAGGTGGAGGGCGTCCTGGAAACCTCGGGAAGGAAGGAGGACCCCACAGGAGGCTGGATGTTGAGGGCGAAGGTGAGAGAGGCAGGAGGACCCCCAGGTTTCAGGCTCGGAGGCTGGGGAGGGAGGTTCCCTTCACGGAGGAAGGCGCAGACTTGGCGGAAGATGCTAAGCATCTACAGGACTGAGTGGGAGGTGCCCGTGAGCGAGAGATGCAGGGGCCAGCGGGCAGGTGGATGCTGGGCTCAGAGGGCAAGGGGGCTGCCTGGGGGTGGGGCACGAATGCAGGAAGTGTGGGCAGCGGTGAGGGCTCTGGAGGTGGGCACACCTGGCGGGCCCATCCCAGCCCCTCCAGACACCCGCCTCCCTGTTCTTCCCTTCCTCCATTCTCCTGAGTCCCCTCCCCGCTTCCACCCCAGCTCCCCAGACTCCCCAGCCTCCACCTCCTGGGGGCTCTCTCCCCCCCAGCCCGCCCCTCTCCCTCACTCTCTGGCAGGTCCCACGGGCCCGACGCCAAGTTGCTGGCTGGCAGGGAGGACGTGGCTCCGGGCCCCCTGGGCCTGTCCCAGCTGCTGGCCGTGGCTAGCCAGGTCGCTGCCGGGATGGTGTACCTGGCGGGTCTGCACTTCGTGCATCGGGACCTGGCCACGCGCAACTGTCTGGTGGGTCAGGGACTAGTGGTCAAGATCGGCGACTTCGGCATGAGCAGGGACATCTACAGCACCGACTATTACCGAGTAAGGGTCTTTGGTCCCGGCCGGGCCGCACCGGCACTGCAGACCCCCCCGGGGGACCCCTCGACCCCAGGAGGGTGGTGTGGGGGCCCAGGCTGCCGGCTCGGGACTTGAACCCCCCTCCTCGGCTCTCTGCTCTCCCGGACGGACGGAAAAGACACCGTGGGTTCTTCCCTCTTAGCGCGGGCCCAGAGCCGCTTCCACGGGCGGGAGCGGGATGCGCGGGAGCGGCGGGTCCCCCCCTCCCCTCCCGGCAGTGACACGGTGCCACCCGCAGGTGGGGGGCCGCACCATGCTCCCCATCCGCTGGATGCCCCCCGAGAGCATCCTCTACCGCAAGTTCAC